TCAGCAATGTTTACAGCAGGCACGACGTTAATTGGCATATCAACCTTTTCAAGTAAGATGTGTTTCTCATCAAACAAAGATTTTTCTGAGCTCCAGCAGACTCGCCAGGCAGCGGTTGTTGTTTTACTGGGACATTCTGATGGGCATCGAGAGCAGCAGAGACATCCACAGCCGACAAAGGCTTGGTCGCGGTGTGGGGTGGAGGCGGAGAGCGAAGTGAGTCCCGCCGAACTTTAGTACAAGATGAGCAGCAAAATGCACGATCGGTTTTATGCAAAAAGTCAACATCGGCTTCCGATAAATTAACACACTTTAAATGAAAAAATTCTTTACATTTAACGCACTGAATTTTCAGGCGACCACGGTAGGCCTTTTGCTTACACGTACAAGGCATGCTTTAAGTGTTCAAGTAAAATTACAATATCGTTTAACTTTCGCAAAAAAAACCATATACACGGCAATAATACAGAGCTTAGCGTAGACACGTCCGAACGGCGCTACCACATCGGAGGCTGACGTCATTTTTGGAGGAAAGTGATGATGACAATGGCAAAAAAAAAACATGTGAAAAGATTTTTTCACCAAAACCAATATAATTTTTTCTTTTGTTCATGAGAAGCATAATATATAAAATTATAATGGCTTTGGTGAAAAAATCTTTTCACATGTTTTTTTTTCCAAACTATTCTTAACAAAAGCACGTTTAAATGAGAGAATACCAGCCAGCGGTTTGCCTCACACAACCGGCACTGAGCTGAAACAGTGGCTTCGAGTTGTTCGTCTAATTCAAGAATCATCTAACATATGTCTCACCCGCTTGTCCACATTGGAACAACTTATCGACCAGAGTGATGAAGAACTAAAGCAGTTGCTATCCAATAATCCAAGTTATCGCACAGAAGAAGATATTCGCCGGCTGACGACTGCCATGCAAAACTTGCGTAAATGTAAGGAAAACTTGGTAATGCTTGAAGGTGGGAATGGCGCGGCAACTGGCAGCGGTAATGAAGGAAAGGCCCCACTGACTGAACAATTATTTTAGGACTCGTGGGATCGATATCACCCCCATCATCATCATCATCATCATCATCATCATATCGTGGCAGTATAGGCAACATTGGTATAACATCTTCGCCCCGCACACATCGCATGATCACAAAGCAAGCAAAACAGCATCATCATTAATCAGTGGGTAGTAGTCGGCAGTCACCATCCCATGATCACAGCTGCAAATCAACTTCAGCGGCTGCAATAAATAATACTACTGACGATTTGGCATGTATGCAAGGATCTACCCTCACGCTGACACTGACTCCTTCACCTCCTAATTCCCCATTCACGCCGATAGGTATAATTAGCAATTTTAGTACAGTCTGCAGTGGTGGCAGCAGTGCTAATGGTACACCACAAAGAGGCAAGCCAGCTGGAACGCCGCCCCCAATGAAGAAACATCAGACCTTACTGTCCAGTTTACAACAGCATACACCTACATATACGGCTATTGCTTCTGCAGCTGCAGTTTCTGTATTGCCCGCAAGCCAGCAGCAAGATTCACCCATGGAAGAGGGGCGAAGGCTACTAAAGGCTACATTTGCTCATTTGTCTGCCTGTGCACTGGCGCGATGCATTTAGAATTTGTTGGAGACCTGTTATCGCTAGGGTTTCTTAATGCTTTCAAGAGGTTCATAAATCGCAGAGGTTATTGCAAGCTTATGACGTCCGATAATGGCACAAATTTTATTGGCGCCGAGAAGGAGTTGCGGAGTGCGTTTTAAAAATGCGTGGCCGATACCAGACTACGTTCATTTTTCGCGGACTCCAAAATCGAGTGGCGTTTCAATCCCCCGTCTGCGCCTCACATGGGAGGTTACTGGGAAACTGGTATCAAGCGAACATAGTATCATCTTAAACGCGTACTGGGCGAAACTCTTCTGTCTTATGAAGCGTTCAACACGCTGCTGACAGAAGTGGAAGCTTGCGTAAACTCCCGCCCGCTCTGTGACAACTCAACATCTGTTGATGACCTAGAAGCCCTAACTCCCGGTCATTTCCTTGTCGGTGAACCGCTGAAATCACTCCCAGAACCTGAGGGTCAAGGGTTCTGTGGCAGTCTTCGTCAGCAATGGCATGCTAACTCTGCCATAAGACAGCATTTCTGGCGACGATGGCGAGACGAGTACCTTGTCAGTTTACAGCGTCGCTCAAAGTGGTTTCGTTCCTCACGCAACGTCGAAGAAGACGATGTGGTCGCAATTTTCAACGAGCCTACTCCGCTGACAAAGTGGATGCTGGCGAGAGTTATAAAATGCCACCCCAGTACAGATGGACTCGTACGAGTGGTCACTTTGAAGACGCCAAATGGGGAATCGGTTAGACCGATCGTGATGCTTTGTGTTCTGCCGACGAAAGGCGACTTGTTCTGCGAAGAAGATCCATAGACGTGAAGTATGCACACTGGCATTAAGTCATACCTTTTAGTATTTTTGCATTGTTAATTAATTTGCCTAATTTTCCACACTGTAATTTTAGTTCAAATGTTGAACTTATCATGGTTAGTTCAAGGGCGGCGATATGTTGGGTTCAGTTACGCTAATTGTAAGGTGTTGGTATGATTATTACAACATAAGGGTTAATGCACAAGTCTACACAAACGTAGCGACTGTAATTTGACATTCCTCTTTTTGCTTTGTTCGTAACACTTAACTATAACTAGTTTTATAAGAACTTATTAAACTCTCGTCTAGGAGAATTCGTTTTGTACTCGACCCGCTTACACGTTCGCCGCCGCTCAGTAACTTTTCGCTAGTTGTACCCGCATTTTTTTATATTAGTGAAAACCCGCGCCTGCATATTTAGATTCATTAGTTTAAGTAAACTAAATAAAAGGAACTGAATTCCGAGATACTCCGCGTTTTATTTGGACATTTATTTGGAAGGGAATCCGCCGCATCAAGCTTCTGTCGGAAAGCGTAGACCAGTGGGCGATGATCAGTGACGATGTGACACTTACGGCCCTCGATCATGTAGCGGAAGTGGCATAGACCCTGGTACGCGGCGGTCAATTCGCGGTCGTAAGTGCTGCACTTGCGCTGCGCGCTGGTCAACTTTTTCGAGTAGAACCCGAGCGGTTCTAGTTTTCCGTTTACGACTTGGTGTAAGGCAGCCCCCACGGCTGTATCGGAAGCGTCTACATGTAACGCTAACTCTGCCGCTGACACCGGGTGCACGAGCAATGTTGATTCCGACAATTCAGGTTTGCAACGGCCAAAACGGTCAGTTTCTGCTTCACTGTTCCACACGAGTCAAGTGCGATCATTTTTCCTGTTGGCCGTAATCAGCTGTAGCAAATGCGTTTTATAGGCGATAGCGTTTGGCAAGAATTTGCGGTAAAAATTTACCATTGCGATGAAACTCTTTAACTCCTTGGCTATCGTGGGTTTCGGGAAATCGCGGATCACCGTGATCCTTTCGGATAAAGTACGAATCCCTCGGGCGTCGACTAAGTGGCCGAGAAATCTTAGCTCGCTTTTGCCAAAATCGCATTCATTAATTGCGAGATTGTTGTCTCGGAGACGTTGAAGGTCTGCGCGTATGTCTCGACGATGCTGTTGCGCTGACGACGACGCTATACAAATGTCGTCGATATAAGGGAAAGCGCAGTCTAGACCACGCAAAACTTCGTTTATCAGCCTTTGAAAGGTTTGCGCGGCGTTACATAACCCAAAGGTCATGAACCGAAATTCGAACAACCCGAATGGCGTCGTTATGGCTGTTTTGGCTACATCATCGTCGTGGATCGGCACTTGGTGAAAAGCACGATGGAGATCGTAGTTGCTTGTAAAATCCGATAAATATGGCAGCGGATATCGGTCGGGTACAGTTTGGGCATTAAGCGCACGATAATCGCCGCATGGTCTCCAGGTTCCGTCGCCTTTCCGCACCATGTGCAACGGGCTTGCCCAGTTGCTGCTAGACGGACGACATATGCCAGACTTATTAAAAAATTAAATTCGTTTCGTGCTGCGGTCAACATATCGGGCGACANTATATTAGTGAAAACCCGCGCCTGCATATTTAGATTCATTAGTTTAAGTAAACTAAATAAAAGGAACTGAATTCCGAGATACTCCGCGTTTTATTTGGACATTTATTTGGAAGGGAATCCGCCGCATCAAGCTTCTGTCGGAAAGCGTAGACCAGTGGGCGATGATCAGTGACGATGTGACACTTACGGCCCTCGATCATGTATCGGAAGTGGCATAGACCCTGGTACGCGGCGGTCAATTCGCGGTCGTAAGTGCTGCACTTGCGCTGCGCGCTGGTCAACTTTTTCGAGTAGAACCCGAGCGGTTCTAGTTTTCCGTTTACGACTTGGTGTAAGGCAGCCCCCACGGCTGTATCGGAAGCGTCTACATGTAACGCTAACTCTGCCGCTGACACCGGGTGCACGAGCAATGTTGATTCCGACAATTCAGGTTTGCAACGGCCAAAACGGTCAGTTTCTGCTTCACTGTTCCACACGAGTCAAGTGCGATCATTTTTCCTGTTGGCCGTAATCAGCTGTAGCAAATGCGTTTTATAGGCGATAGCGTTTGGCAAGAATTTGCGGTAAAAATTTACCATTGCGATGAAACTCTTTAACTCCTTGGCTATCGTGGGTTTCGGGAAATCGCGGATCACCGTGATCCTTTCGGATAAAGTACGAATCCCTCGGGCGTCGACTAAGTGGCCGAGAAATCTTAGCTCGCTTTTGCCAAAATCGCATTCATTAATTGCGAGATTGTTGTCTCGGAGACGTTGAAGGTCTGCGCGTATGTCTCGACGATGCTGTTGCGCTGACGACGACGCTATACAAATGTCGTCGATATAAGGGAAAGCGCAGTCTAGACCACGCAAAACTTCGTTTATCAGCCTTTGAAAGGTTTGCGCGGCGTTACATAATCCAAAGGTCATGAACCGAAATTCGAACAACCCGAATGGCGTCGTTATGGCTGTTTTGGCTACAACATCGTCGTGGATCGGCACTTGGTGAAAAGCACGATGGAGATCGTAGTTGCTTGTAAAATCCGATAAATATGGCAGCGGATATCGGTCGGGTACAGTTTGGGCATTAAGCGCACGATAATCGCCGCATGGTCTCCAGGTTCCGTCGCCTTTCCGCACCATGTGCAACGGGCTTGCCCAGTTGCTGCTAGACGGACGACATATGCCAGACTTATTAAAAAATTAAATTCGTTTCGTGCTGCGGTCAACATATCGGGCGACAAGCGTCGCGGTCGAGAAAACACCGGTTGACCCGATGTAGATTTGGTCGAAGAACCACAAGGTGCTAGCTTCGTGATATCCGCAAACTCGCGCAACAAATCAGCAAAGGGGTCGTTTGCGTTGAACATTTTAATCTGGGTTACCTTGGAAAACGTTGGCGCAGTTAGTAAAGATCGCAGTTTGGTGAGATTTTCGATTAGTTGGTTTCGACGCAAATCGATGAGAAGTTCATAGAAACGAACGAAGTCTGCGCCGATTATCGGTGTTGTAACATCGGCGGTTATGAACGACCACGGGAAATCCCGACGAAGTCCGAGATCCAAGTTGATACTTTTTTCACCGATGGTCTTGATGGTAGATCCATTTGCGGCATACAGTTTGGTCGTGGTAGATCGCATATCCCGAGAACTGGCAGAGTTGGGCAGGACGGACACGTCCGCGCCGGTATTGACAAGGAACATTTTACCTGTCCGTCGTTCGTGCACTTGAAGGCGAAGAACTTTGCGCTCTGTGACGGACCCTTCGCTATCATCCGCCACTCGCTTCCGTAGTCACAATGCATCGGATGCGGAGGCTACCGCTCGAACCACGTGGTTTCTGCGACGACACGGTATACGGCACTTCCGAGCGTCGGAGCCATATTTCTGGTGGTACCAACAGTCTTGGGCTGCAACAGATGACGTTTCTTGTGAATTTTCTGCTGTTTGCAAGTTGTTTCGTGCATTAGCTCTTGGTCGAGAGGTTGACCGCCCACGATTACGCGAACGCGAACGAATAGTGAATTTTTCAATTTTTTTGTCTAGTTCCATTACGAATGCACGCAGTTCGTTGACTTCATTTTGAGGTGTCGACCTAACGCGGTTCACTTGAAGTGGCGCGATAGCATCCACTATTGTGTCGGTTATTTTCGTAAACTCGGTCGCAGNAGTACCGGATAAGGCTGCTACGACTGTTTCTGCGAACTCCGGCAAACGTTTGATCCAGGGGCTTTTGAGCGCCGTATCGCCGAGTGTGTTGCCAGCGACGCGCTTCATTTCAAAGAACAGTTCTGACGATTTCTTATCCCCCAGTGGCAATTCTGAGAGTACGCGGTTGAGGCGTCGCTGTTCGCTATCGGCGAAGTGCTCGATAATTCTTTGCCGCACATTCTCGAACCTGTCGTTTTGCGGTAGCGATGCAATGACATCCCGAGCGAGGACGTTGGGGTCCAGCGCTGCCAAAACAGTTTCCGTTTTTGCTTCTCGGCCGTGATGCCTAAAGCAGAAAACCAAAAATCCATTGAAGTAAACCAGGCCTCAATATTTGTGTTGCTCATTGGCGGTACTGGTAACCTGGCATACACTACCGCGATGGTATTAGCGGGCGGGACCGTTGCTGCGGCCGGTGCACCTATCTCGGCTGCGCCTCCAGGCAACCCACCGTCTTTCGTTTCGATCGGCATTGTCTTACCCTTAAAGTTTGGTTATGTGCTTACACGTGGTTGTCGCGTTTGCCGGAGGCGAGATCACGTCGGCGTCCCCACTTTGGGTGTTTTAATAGAGTATCCCTCTCAAACTCGCAAGGAAGAAAAAATGGATGTAGCAAGATATACAAAGCTTTATTTTTTATTTAATAGTAAGCTAAGGATTTGTTTAATCAATTAATATTAAGTATTTTTATTTGTATCTAGGCAAGTACGACTTAGCAGCACGAAATCCAGACGAAAAAAGGACAGAAGTGCGGAAGGTTATGCCAGATTATAATTTTTGTATTTTATCTAACGCAAGGTCGCATTTGTGCTTGAGGCATTTTTGGGGTTACCGCACGCTACAGGTGTGCTGCCACAGTACACAACGTCTTTCAGTATATGGAGGATATCTTAGCAGAAATCTCAGAAAATTCTGTGAACACTGTTGTCATTGGCGATTTTAACACAAACATGAACGTAGTTTCAACCTACAGCAGAAAACTCAATGATGTTTTCTTGCAACAAGCCATGCAACAGCTGTTAAATTTTAATACGAGGGTGGCGGAACATTCGGAAACACGTATCGACTTGTTGTATTCCGATGATAACCGAGTTATATGCGAAAATGTCGAGGATCATAGAATATCAGACCACGAAACAATGATGTTTCGACTCAGTGTCAATAAGCTAAACCCACTTGCTAAGGAGGTATAAGTAATATCCTGGGAGAGATATAACCCAGAGAACTTAACAACTTTACTAAGGCAGTGCGATTTCTCGAACTTAAGTTTTTTCGATGTTGACGGTAGGTATTACTCATTGCATTATGTGGTCCATGAGGCAGTTAACTTACTCAAAAATAACTCGCATTAAGCAGAGGAACAAATGATATGATAGGCAATTGACAGAGATGAACAAGTATAAACCTAAATCTCATGAGAAAGCAGTGTTGTCAGGGTACTGGGGTGAATATAATATAGTGAGAAGCAGGTATAAAGAAATGGTAAGGTGTAAAAAAATTAATTACTTAGAGCATAAGATGGAAATAAATAAGGGTGACAGCCGACCCATGTGGAAATACATAAAGGAGGTAGTCTATACACGGAGGTCAAAGAAAATATTGGAGAAGTGATAATACATAACACCAACTACGTAAACTGCTTTGAAAACTTAAATAATTTTTTTCGTGGACAGCATTTTGGAAATACATACCAATATAGAGTGTGTAAACTATGACTTTTTTGAGCAACGAGCTTCTACAAGTACGCTAAAATTTGAAGATGTCTCTACGGAAGACATTCTTCAAATTGCCAAACAATTTTAGCGGAAAATTGGGGGATACAACCTACTATCTGACGGTGTTATTAAGGACTCTGCTGATTATATGGGATATTTATAAGAAATAAATAAGAGTCTCCAAACAGGATCAGTACCGGAAAAATGGAAAATTTCATCAATAGTACCCGTTAAGAAAGTTAGAAAAACAATTAAAGCTGAGGAGTTTAGGCCTATCAATACTCTCCCTAGCTTGGAGAAAATGCTAGAAACCGTAAAGAAAAACTAGTTACAGTACTATGTGGAATCCAATGAAATACTCAGAAAAGAAAAATCTGAATTCAGAGCTAAACATTCCTGTGAGACTGCGCTGAATCTGGTGTTTTCTCAATGGAAAGAAGATCATAACTGCCACCTTAATGGAGTAGCAGTGTTTATTGATCTTTAAAGAGCATTTGAAACAGTTGATAGGGTCCCAACGTTGGATAAACTAAAATACATTGGCATAGAAAACACTGAGCTTGACTGGTTTAGAAGCTTTCTATGTAATCGTAGGCAACAAACAATAGTTAATTCAAAGATGTCTAGTAAGATAGCCATAGACATCGGCTTACCACAGGGCTCTGTTTTGGCACCCCTGCTCTTTAATATATATACAAACGATATTAAAAGTTCTCTCAAACATTGTAAAATAAAACTCTTTGCGGATGATGCCTTGTTAACGATCAGTGATAGGGAACTACCAAATGCGATTGTCAAAATGCAAGAAGATCTTAATTCTTTGTATCAATGGCTGTGTTCAAATAAACTCAAACTGAATGTGAAAAAGACTAACTTTATGGTATTTTCCGGAGCGGCAAATGCTGACTCCATAAACCGTGAATTAAAAATCAAAGAGTTGAAAAGTGTCAAGTACCTAGGAATATACATAGACAACAAACTAAAGTTTGATGAGCACGTTGAGTATACAGTCAACAAGATTGCTAAAAAAATTGGCCTTATAAAGAGATCGTGTAAGTACTTGGGAAGAAGATATAAAACATTGGTTTACAGGTCAATAGTAGAACAGCACTTTATATACTGCCCTACGATTTTCTTCCTAACGGGGGACTCACATGTAGATACGCTGCAAAAAATGCAAAACCGAGTGATGAGATTCATCCTCAACAAACCGTACGACACACCAACAAGATGTATGCTTGAAACCTTGAATTGGTTAAGCGTGAAGCAACAAGTTTTTTACCACGCTATGAAATTTGTGTACAATATTAAGAAAGGCAACCTGCCGGATTATCTTAGCGATAATGTCCGATATATAAATGAGACCCATTCATATTTGTTGAGAGAGAATAACAGCTTCAGACTACCGAAGTATAGAACGGAAGTGGACAAAAAAAATATTTTTTATAAAGGCTTAAAGTGCTTTAATGAATTACCAGACTCCTTTCAAGCGGCTGCTATATGACTATTATAGAACGCAGCCTACAAGATGTATCAACAAAAGCGTGGATTGGAAACTAGGCCTTTCCAACCACCAAGATACCGAGACTAGGTGGATCGGAAACTCGGCCTTTCCGACTACCTAGAGTACATTAAAGCCCTTAGATAATAAACAATAACTGAGCGGATTGGAAACAAGGCCTTTCCAACCGTCACGAAAGCGCGACTGGGTGGATCGGAAACTCGGCCTTTTCGACCACCCATGAGATATCAAGATACGGAGTAACCCAAAAAGTATATAGCGGATTGGAAACTCTGCTTTCCAACTGTCGACATAACTTCCGGAAAATTGCATGCTTTTATATTGACGTAAAATAATTGCAGCTGTAAAGAAATAATGTTATTTAAAAATTTCCGTAGAGCATACTGTATTTAATATTTAATATTTACATTTTAAATCTAAATGAATGTTAAACCTTTTTTGTAATATAAGTCTAACAGACTGTAAAAAAATAAATAAAAACTGAAAAATAAAAAATATAAAAAGTAAACTTTTCCGTATACTCTGTAATATTCCTCCGCAATTTTGTAAGACAAAATAACAATTTATAGTCGTTGCTTTGCACCGAAATATCTTCTTCTTTTTAAATCAATTTACTAATTATTTTGTTAGCTTAAGTGTATAATTTGTTATATAGTATATATATATAGAAAAAAACTTGAAAGTTAGGGGGAGGACCGAAATTATTGAGCTAGAATATCCTGGTACTATTCTATATAGGCAAAAATTTGGGCCCCCTGCCCCTACCTGGCTACGCCCATGCAGTGTTGGCACTAATCGATTGATTTTTTAATCAATTAGTTAATTCGATTAAATTCAATCCGATTACAGTTAATAGTGATTAATTCTAATCTGATTAAACAGTTAGTCGTAACCGCGATTAAACAAATTTATTTTTAATCATTAACTCTTAATTTAATTTCCCGTGTTTCGATCTGAACAGCCATGTGGCTTGATGGACGTTTTTATGCTAGAACCCAGTACTATATACTACCAAGTTTCAGGCCCTGGCGAAGTCGATCAGCCTCAGTTCGTTATCGGACGTTTCGTCGCATGAAAATCGGCGATGTTAAATCTACTCCAACATACTCAAAAGTTTGACCTTGAGCTTTGTGAATTGTCATGGCGAATGCAGTCCTTATCGGAAATTGATGTCGTTGCATTGTACACCCAAGTTGACCTTTTGACGAGTCCAGAGTGATTCTAGGTATATGTACTTCTTTACCAGATTGTTCACCAGTAACGATTTTTGCTTTTATTATATTATTACACATGCTCGTCACAATGAGTCTTACCCCGTTGCATAGACCTTCTTATACATCCAAATTACGTAACAACATTATTAGCGAATTTGTTTTCAATTTCAGCTCGTGTGGGGGTAAGTCTGATATGTTGACTGAATTAAGAAAATCCGTTGTGAATTGGAGTCCTCCTCCAGAATGGTCTTTTATCGAGTCATGACTGTGGTAGATTTTGTATTCACCAGGAAGTTTGGCAACGATAGCGTCGTTAATTCTATCGACATCTTTATTGAGAGGTGAAAGTATCGCCCTTTTTTCATTCTCTCATAAATTGTACTTTCAAAGCAGTCTCCAAACACCTCATCAATTAGGTTGCTATTTGATATGATATCGTCTGGCAATTCAATTTCTTCCATCGTATTTAATGGCCGCCCACCGTTACCTAACTTTAGCAGATATTCAGCAAATTCACGTTGCTCTATATCGACATGCATGTTTTCTTCCAATGTAAATACCATAAAACCTAACCATAAGGGACATCGTTTGATAGAAAGGTCTAACAATTCACTTTGATTTGCTCTCAGTTGCACAGGCAAACATTGGCGAAAGTCTCCTCCTATTACCATTACTTTTCCACCAAAGGGAACGTTCGGATTTGCAATAGATCGCAACAGTTGGTCAATGTTTTTTAGTCCATATTTTGGATGCATAGGAGCTTCATCCATAAGAAAAATATCGGTTTCTGCTAATTTACTGGCTTTTGGTGATCCGGGTGTGATACTTGATACTGAGCCTGGTGAAAGTGGTACTTTCAATCCAAATGTCTTATGTGCAGTACGACCATTAGGCAGCAATATCGAAGCAATACCGGTAAAAGCCATACATTTAACTTTGCATTGCTTTCCAGTGAGCACGTAGAACAAAGTCTTATATATAAATGTTTTTCCAGTGCCACCTGGAACATCAATGAAAAAACA